GGGGGGGGGGGGGGGGGGGGGGGGGGGAGATAAGTCACAAAACACGTGTTAATCTCCTGTTCACCTACCTCTGTGCTCAGCCCTTCCTCCTTGAGAAGTGCAACTATAGTTTCTGATACCCCCACGGCTGCAGATCCCGCTCCATAGAATAAAATCACAGCGTCTCTCAGTGATGTCTGCAACATTACATCCACGAATCCACAGGGTTGGCACAACTTAACAGTCAGCATACCGTTATTCCTTTCTCTCTGTAGACAATTCAAAAAGTGTTGCGGGCACGAGGGAAAACACCATTAACCTCTTTGCATCGAGGCCTCGGTCTGCATAACCTTCGCATCAATCAAACACGGAATCTGTCCAAAGCTCGCTATGTGGCAAGTCACAAGATTGGTTAAGAGTTTATCCCAATTGCTGCATGGATTGCTGCTGAAACCTTGCCAGCATGACACCAGTATGAAAAGCAACCAACACCATAATGAGGTTCGCATACTGACATAAAAGAGAAGGAAGCAGAGACGACAAATGCTGTAGCAAACAGCTGAAGGCTAATACAAACGTTGCAGTCTAATACCAGGAGAACAGCAAGCACCACAAATTTCCTTAAGAGTATTCCCCAAATGAGGACACACTGACACAGTGCAAACTGACATGCTGATCAGGGATCCTTCATCCAAACGGAAGGAGTACTGACCTGTAATTCCGACTTGCTGGGGGAAATGGAACGAGAGTGATCGTCCCCAGAAAGAAAAAGGGGCCACCATAAAGGTCCGTTTAGGAAAGAAAAGGAAAAAGAAAAGTCCAAATAGCTCAAGCAGCGGCAAAAATGGCATGCTGCTCACCTTCTGTGCCTTCGACGCATTGATAAGCCCTGCCGCAATGACAGCACCGGTTCCTTGAATGTCGTCGTTGAAGGACCGGCAGCTGTATCGGTGACGCTTCAGGATGGTAATCGCTGACTCCGTGTTGAAGTCTTCAAACTGGATAAGCGCTTTAGGCCACTTGTCCTTCACCTGCATACAGAGAACATGCAGCAGTTCGGTAAGCAACGCGAAAGAAAATCTGGGGTATCTATTCACCAGGGACTGACAGCAATCGAAAATACGGAGACCTTCGAACCCTTGGAGAACCCTTGGAACCACCGGCCCTAACACCTTGACAGTCCGCTTCAGTGACTTCACCAACGTTGCTGAGACTTCAAACTACCATCTTCGCCAAAAAATAATGCCCGGGCGTTGTATACGAATATATAACGTAATGCCCGGCAGGCATTATATTCGTTCATAACACCCCAGCATTGTATTTTGTAAAAAAAAGGTGACAACTTCGGTAGTGCAAGGAAAATAAGCAACAGCGAGATGACAATCCCAGATCACACCATCACATTGCAAGTCAAATAGTCACACTGTGTCCAGATAGCAGCATTWCACCAATAATACACCAATGGAGTTTCATAGCACTGAAAACCAATGTCCGTGGAGAGCACACTCTCGCATCTCAACACAAGAGTCCGAGTTCCCTTACACTCACACTTGGCGCTCAGCGCCCATCCTAATCCTACACAGCTACTACAGACTACAAAAAGACAATGCAACTGTTGACATCAGCAGCAGCCCGAAGTACTTGAAGATGCCGCCCATGCAGACCATCGCCARWACRAGGTACGTGCCCTCACATCATCATCATCATCATCATCCTTCACCTATCCCCTGACTTCACCCACGCCTGTCCTCTCTGTCACCCGAAGACCACCCCTGCGCTTCACTGTAGTCCAAGCCCACCAACTATGGTGGCTGGGCTATGGCGCTGCCCTCAGCAGCGCCCTCCTCCTCTGCACGACCGCACGTGCTGCACCTCGCCTCCCAGCGCTAGCAGCAGCCTACGAGCATTAGCTCCAGCAGCGCTGCCGCCCAGCATGCGAGTGCCTGAATGCGGCAGCCAGGGCCGAGCTCTTTCCTTTATGGAAAGAGTTGGCCTGCTCACTCAGCCTGGCTGCCTTGGCCTGGGCCCAGAAGCTTCCGGAAGGCCCCAGGAGGCTGCCTGGATGCAGCAGCTACTGGGCTGCTGGGCCTCGTTCGGTTGGGCGCCCAACTGTCTCTGTATGAGGCTGCAAATCACGGCCAGGGCCTGCATTCTTTGGAAAGGCCCGGTAGGCCGTGGAAATGTCCTTGTTGTTCGGCCAGTGTTTCTTTCAACCAACTGGTGCATCGCAACTGCCTGAACCCCAAAATACGAAATTGACAGTCGAAGGCCTTTTACAAAAAGCCAGGCCCGCCTTCACTTAGGGCGGGCACCTCCGCCTTCACTTAGGGCGGGTAAGGCTGCAGACAGGGCCCCATAGACCTACCGAGGACCCTGATCCTCGCAGTAGGGCCCCGGAATTGCAAAAAAAAAAAAAAAAAAAAAGTAAAAAGAATATGTTGTCTCAAATTGCAACGCAACCAACTTTCGGCTGACGGTCACTTCAGAAGTCCTTATAAATTCGAAAACAAAAAATAGAAAAAGAAAGTCAAAAGCATACCCCTTCGGTGTCAAAACCCCTTTCAACGCCCTTTAAAACCCATGTATACCCCCCTTCCCCTACTTCAAAACCCATGTATACTCCCTCTACGAGGCACTCTGCCCACCGAACATTCAAATATAACTCCCAGGCATTCTATTCAAATATAGCGCCTGGCATTATAAGCATTACATTTGAAGCGGCACCCTTATCATGAATGTAGAAAGCTATAATTCCAGTCTTGCGGCAAGACCGTCCAGTGTGCAGAAGACGCCCACACGCCCAACCGGGAATAATGAACTCGTCAAAACAATCATGCTTGCAGGTTGTCACGAGTCCTTCCGGCATTATAGATACAGAAGTCCTTGCAATGTGCACTGGGTTCATGAACACATATACGCTATGTTATGCCATGAATGCCCATACAGATTTGTATCATACAGATCAGCAACTCCTGGTTGCACAAAGCACTCTCAGCTCCAACCTCTTTCTCGCACTGACATGGCCGTACATAAAGAAATTAAAAGGTTCATTTCCATTCCAATTTTGAAATCGCAATGATCCGCTCAGATTCACTCTACACACAATATGGCACAGTGGAAGCTTACAATAAGATTCACACCAAGACCAGATATGGAACACCAAATCAGCGGAACTCAGAAACTTCAGTGTATACTCATAACATACAAATTCGGAGTTCAGATAGCCAGCGTTGATCACTGCAGCCAACAACAATCTCAATCAGGTCTGTAACCAAGCTTCCTCCTCATGCGACTCTCTCCGTCTCTCTTCTTCCTCTCTCTTGGGTCGTGCTACCTCTCTCTCTCTCTCTCTCTCTCTCTCTCTCTCTCTCTCTCTCTCTCTCTCTCTCTCTCTGTGTGTGTGTGTGTGTGTGTCTGTCTGCTACTACTTGGACCGTAACCCTGGATACATCCGCCTTCCTCCTACTGCAACTATGTCTACAACGGCTATGGCCGCCAGTCTTCCTCCTCAACCCTAGCGCCGCCCAACAAGTCCTCTGGCGCGTCGCCCAAGTCGCATTCTCCCAAATGAACAAGCTGCACTTTGCACTGTAGCAGCTATTGATAGTAGCTTGATTTGGCCTTGGTCATTCCGACCCGTACAGGTCACCCGCAGCCTGTCTGCTGCACGTTTTTTGTTTGCCCAGTACCTTCCGGACCTTCCCTCTGATGCTGCTCCAAATTGGACTTCGGGACGGGCCAATACTTCTCTTGTCGGGTACCGGTTGGACTGTTACCTACCCACATGACGTTTTTCATGTCTGATTCAGCACTGGCCCGACATACCCTACAACGCTTCAAATTCCTAAAGGACCCAGGGACCCCACAAATCCTACCTGGGACCTAACTATCGGGACAGGTGGGACCAGGACCATCTGGGACTGGGACAATCTGGGACCCCGGAACCAGAACTCAAGTGTGTCTGCAACACGAAATCCTTTCAAAATAAATAATATTATTAAATACATATTAAAATAAAAATTACGGAGGCATCTGCACCAGAGTAACCAGACCCTGGACACCCATCTTTAGCACTTTGAGATGGAACTATCATTGTCTATCAACAAATAAAAGGTAGGACGAAGAACGCTACGCACCGCATTCACAAATTCGTCAACAAATTCCAGGTATGGCTGCCCTGTGATCCTCTTATGTCGAGAGCCCAGATAAAGAGAATCATTCAGAAGCACCTGCAAACACACGCAAAAACAAAGTGGCAGCACGTGAGCCTCAATTCCACACATCAACCTCACCGTACGAAGGAGGTTCAAACAGATGTGAACCAAGTCCAAAAAGAGATCCAAACAGAAAATTAAACCCAAGAGACTTGTTGACCCTATTCTTTGGCACGAGTATTTTCTTCCAACAGTCGACATGCTCTGCATTCAACGAGATCCCATTCTGTCACCTATAAGCAAAATGCCGCTTTCCTGTTGCACAAAACCATGTCAAAAGGAAACCACCGTGCTCACACGGACGAATCAATCTGCGGCCCAGATTGGACTACAGCACTCCATGCTGCTCACGGAGACATAATGCAGCAAGCCAGACCCCTGCGATTAGCCAGCAACATACATATAACCCCAGAAATGCAAAATGCACAAGGCTACTTACTACCTCCTTCCCCCGAACATAACGCACATGCATTGTAACCGAATACAACACATAGGGCGCGTTCTATTCAAAAACAACGCGTATGCGTTCTAATCGATATTTTGTTTTTCAATTTTTTTGAAACTCGAATACAACGCATACGTGTTACATTCGGGGGAAGAAGGTACTTGAGGCAGCCAATCCCGAGAACATCTTCAGAGCAAAATGGAGCAGCATAGCAAAAGGTTTCTTTCAGCGTAAACCGGAGCAGCTTAGCAAAGGTTTCAGCAAGAACACAATGATAGACACCTTACTGCACCATTCACCAAGCTCAGACAAAAGAGTAACACGTTGTGAAGCTCTCACCTCATTGTTCGTTCCAGCATCGAGGAGAACGGGAAGCGTCCCTACTGGATTGAAGCCTCCGCCCGCAACATACAACGAAAGTTTGCCAATGGGAATGGGCATACCATTTGCACCCAAATCTCCCAGACCCAGGATCTGCAATGTACAGAAGACATATAGATTAGACTGCTTTCTATGGCCTCACTAACATGAGCAGTAAGAACCCTGCATCCTCAGTCGAATTGGGTCAACGATTCACCTGCCAAAGCTGAAGGGAGAGAACAGACGTCAACAATAAGCAAAAAGATGGTTGAAATGCTTTCCCTAAACCCTCTTATACCTTGAGACCACAACGACAGTCCCTTCCCCGACCATGCCCCTTGGCAGCTAACAGCCACTGTCTTTTCCGAATTGGAAAGGGAGAGAAAGAGCCCACAGTATGCAACGAGAGCATTCCTTCATGTCCCCCATCCCCCCAAAAACGACTTCACAAAAGGCGCCCCTAATGCGCCATAAAGGTGTGCCCTTTTAACTTACTGTTGCCCTTTCTTTCCTGCTCATATTTGTTCCCCTGCAAGTGTTTCGATCAGACGAGCAAACGCCCAATCTCCTTCTTCGCACGCAACCCTATGTGCTTATAGCATTACAACAACGTCGTTATTTTTCCACAGAAGTCGGCATTTCTCTCACTTTCCGTTACTTGTTCGCCATGTTTGCATTTCGACAACAACAAGTTCTACGCCCAGTTGATGTCTGCGTTCCTAATACTTCAGTCGCATTCAGCTCCATATTAGACTTGATAGAATCGAAAAAAAATCCTTGTCAAAACAACATCTCCAGTGCCAACCATGCATGAGCAGCACATGTACCCCCATCAGCAGCAATTAAAGGCATAGCCAGGGGGTGGCACCGTGGCATGCATCACATGATTGAAATGCAGGACTTACCCTTCCACCATCTGTTACAACCACCACGTCAACAGACTCGTGAGGCCAATAATCCAGCATCTTCCTGATATGCCCCTGCAAATACCAACCAAAGCATATGAGCACTGAGTGAGTCAGGCATCAGCATCGAGAACTCCAATGGAATGGGTTACTGCGCACTCTTCAAGCCGTCTTCCCTGCCACCACAACTTCACCCCACGATAATGGGGACGGTGACGAAGAGGTCCTGCAACATAGGTCCTCATAAACCCCACTTAAACAATCGTTGCGAGTTAAAAACACTATGTCAATTGTGACAACATAACTCTGAGCCCGAGCCACAACCCCCCATATATCCCCACACCTGTCGACAAGCTTGTGGAGGCATAAACAAATTTGTCGCCCGTGACAACGTCATAATTTGACTCTCAATGAATGGTTCGTGCCCTCCTCTCAAAGACCGTCTGTGAGAAAAGTCCTAAAATTATGCCGAATCGTATACGCTGTTCAGCACCGCGGCGAGGGGCTTTCTGTACAATTGTCTCTAGGACTTGCAAAAGATAAGGAGCAAAGCCTGGCTCAAATTGCCCAGCTTGTATTGCTGACCAAATTTTGAGAACCAGTTAATGTGCCCTCAAAAATCTCACACGAACACAAACATCCATAGCCAAAGGCAACTCGCAAGAGCTTTAAAAACCATAAATGGAGAAAAGCCCCTTAAAAGAAAAGAAAAAACACACTTTCCATGGGTCCAATGACTCCAATCCTTCGGAAATTACCGTAATCCATTTACCCCTTCAAAAGAGAGACTCGTAACACTTCACCACCTATACTTGATTCTAATTTCAGCCCATCAGATGAACCCAATGCGGGTGAAAAAAACAGAAAATCCTTTTGGTTATTGCACCCCTTGGCCATTTCTAATGAACTTCCAACCAAACAGACCATTTCTAATGAACTTCCAACCAAACAGACTGACTCACAGATGGCTCATTGGGCTGACCTCATCCATCAGGAATTTGACACCCTGAACGCATAGTATTACCGAAAAAAGAACACGGTAATGAATCTAGCCTTAAGTGTGCCATCGACCAAGATATACAAGTGACAGACAACAACCCACCTTATCCTCTGTGCAGAAGTACATCCCTTGTGCAGAACGATAAATATTGCCAAACTTTTGACATGCCTCTCCAACCTGCAGAAAGTCAAAAAAAAAAAACAAATAAATAAGCAACAAGAAGACCACGCACAGCAACGACACACAACTCTCCATTCCAAACCCATTTGCCATTCATTTGCACCTTCAAACCGAGCGGCACTCCTAGATCGACCACTCGTCAGCAGTTATGGCTTCAGGATTCCCATACCTAAACCTCTGTCACAACTGCCACCAAACGAGCTCGCAGTGGACAGACACCCGGACGAAAGACTTTGAAAGTAGGTGTCTGAACTTCTTTGAAACTTCTGAAAACCATCTACTGCATACACTTATGGACAAGTACAATGCACCGTGAGAACCACACCACGTGAGACTGACCGCTCACAAACTGACTTGGAAGATAAAGTGAATCAGCGCTTACATCTCCTCTCGCCAATTACTATCACACCACATAACAAGACTAAGAAACCCTCATCAACTTGCTCTACGACTTCCACAAACCTACCACCCTCAACATAAAGTGAGATGTGTGAAATTCCCCTCCATATTCTGCTTCGGCACATGTGACAGCTACACTCAATAATTGCCATCTATAATGAGAGGAGTCCAGTGAATCAGTCTCAGGTTTCTGACTTTCTAGAACTCTTTAAGCTATCTAAGCAGGGTTGTCAGACCATCTACGGCCAACGCCTACCGTAGGCCATCGGCTTGCCTACCAGTCGGGCTGTAGGGAGTTCAGAAGGGGGTACGAGGGTGGTTGGGGGCAGTGGGGTGTTGAGAGGGGCTGTGTGGGTGTTGATGGAGTTATTTAGAGTGCCGACCAGTCAGACGGTCAGTTTTTTTTTTTTTTTTTCGCGAGGTGCCGACCGACCTCCGACCGGCATGTGCCAACCAGTCCAACGGTTGGCTGGTCTGCCCCCGATCAATCCAGGGGCGCCAACCGTTGGCATGACTACTCTGTATCGAAGCCCATAGAAGCTGGTGGTGCGACGGTGCACTCTTCGATTGATCTTTGACGCGGTCTGCTCAACCAAACCAGCGAAGTATCTGCCAAACGAGCACCTTAATTCAATATCGATAGCTCATAAAAGAATCCAGCCAAGTACGCACGTTTGACTTCAGAATAGGGTATTACCACAACAAGCACACATGACTACTCTCAATAACTGCCATCTACGAGTTGACGAATCGACTACACCAAGTTTGTCTCCAACTTCCCACCACCTTCAGAAAATACTTCCAAAACAGTATCAAATGCTACCGACCTGCCATTTTCCAATTTTGATATGGGAGCTACGGCACTTCCGCCAGCCACTTGAATTCTCGCCTCAACAACCAATCCATGAAAAAAAAATGGGACCATGCCAGACCAAAAACATCACCCCCTTCAAAGAAGGGTCAGTTCGATAAACCAAGCCTGTTGTGTCACAACAACATTGGAGAGTGTAGCCACGTTACTCGAAGACATTTCACTATCATTTACAGCATTGGCAGCCGTGGCCACCTCACTTGACGACACCTTACTATGTTTTTTGGTGGGGTTAGTAATTATTCATGAAGCAAACTCTTATAAGAAAAGTATCGTAACTATGTTTTTTAGTTACTATGGTTTTTTAGTTACTATGTTTTTTAGTTACTATGTTTTTTAGTTACTGTGTTGCTTAGTTACTATGCTTTTTAGTTACTATGTTTTTTAGTTACTATGTTTTTTAGAGCTTCGGCGGCCACCTTACCAATGGACGTGTTAGCATTTTCAGACGCCCAGTGTACGTTCATGAGCTTCAGCAACATAACCAGCATGGACTACCGTCCTTTGACAAAGTGATTCAGGGCAGTTCAATCCTGCACCATTGGCAACAACATCCAAATTTTCTGTTGACAGCCGTATCGCATGGGATTTCATTTGTTGAGAACAAGAGTCTCTTCCCTCTTCCACCTCCCACAGATCCATCCATGAATAGCGGTGAAAACATCTCACAACCACTGCTGCTTACTGTAACACGGTGGCATGCGCATGAAAAGAACCATACCGTTGGTGTGTATACGATCGGAAGTAGCTCCTCCAAGTAGTTGATGAGCAAATAGTAGAACAGAGTCTCATTCGTCGTCTGGAGGCCGGACAGAATGATATACCTGCAGAGCCAGGCACAGGATTGTAGCTTTCCTCTATATTTCTCCTTTGAACCACAGGGAGGGGACGGGGGGGAGAGGGGGGAGGGGGGGAAAGGGGGGTATATATGGATTTACATGTGCAACTGATGAAACAAAACACATCAAACACACCCCATGATCAAATCACACACCTTTCCACATTATCAACCAGGAAATGCCTTAAAGCCTCGACAGTGAAAAATACATCTCAAGTCCCAGACGCGCCCAAACAAGGGCATAATCCGATACCGACCAACCTCAAGAAGGCAAATGGACCCTCAACGAGAACATAATTGAAGTGCACAACCATTCACAGAATGCTGCAACAGTGTATAGAGTACAACCATCATTAGCAAGGCAATAAAACACGAGAGGCAGCAGCGAGACAAACAAGGTTTGCGCGAGGCTAACGACCTTCCTCTCATCATCTCCTACCAACAGGAGTGTAAAGGCAGACGGCAAAGCCTTAAAAGGCTAACGACCCTCTCTGATGATCTCCTACCAACAGCAGTGTATCTTTGCATTGCTGGGTAAGAAAGCGGCTGCCTTTTCCATAGCATTCTGCACAGCGGAACACTCCAGGAGCTTCCCTCTTCTGCAAATGAAATGCTCACACCTCAGAAAATCACATCCACACCCCTCCATCATTCATCAATGTTCCCTTTTAGCATGCATGTACGATACAGCACCTTGGACACAGTCAACCTAACATCAAGGCCCAAAGCAAAACTCAAACACCAGTGTAGGTTTGTGTGTTCCGTCGACATTATGAAACATCATGGACCCAACCCAAGGAGATCATACCAACAAGCGAAGTCGCACCTCAATCCACAACCTTCACTGACCTGTTCAGTGTGTCCGCTGAGGCATTCAGCTGGCCCATCACACGCCTGGCCTGTGCCTCGAGCGCTTCGACTTTGGGAGGAAGAAGCCCCCTAATCCGCATCATATCTCGCTCATCTGGCCTGAAGACATGAGACCATCAATACACCACGACCCACGCCATTGACCCCACATTAAACTGACGACCCACTCCATTAACCACACATTAAACTGACAAGTCATACACGTAAACTACCATTCCCTTTTCACTGAGCACACACACCATGTACCGTCTATTCTGGGGGGGGGGGGTCAGTCCGGTTGTTCAACAAAGACATAGCATGAAATCGGAGAGAGAGAGAGAGAGAGAGAGACAAGGGAGAATAGACAAACAGAACAGCCAAGAAACCTGCTTGCCCTAGAGGCCCTTAAACCTGCTAACAGTCCCTCTGCGCAGAACTGACTGGTCGGTAACAGTCCCTCTCCCCAGGTATTCTAACGAGGTGATCTTCACACATTCTACCAAGCTGATCATGATGGCCAGTAGAGATTCCAATGGTACCCAATCGCACATCATGGTCATCTCCAAAAAGCACAGGCTTGGGATGGCACCAGACACCTTCACTGCGCCTTGACCGATCTACTCTCACTACACCACCCACCTACTTACCTCCCTTCGGACTCTGCACGTAACTATCCTCCCCTTGATTCCCCCTCACTTTGATGAACTTCCCTGGACACCTTGTTTATAAAAGGTACCTTCCTCCAAACCCGTGCCATTTCATCTCTCCACACACATCAGCATCGGTTGCCAGATTGACCACACAGCACTAGCTTGGTTCTGCTGCCCTGCATGGCTAATCCTTGCTAGGCTTTAGCTTCCCCCCAAACTACCCTTGCACAACTTACACTGCCTTCCACACCAGCCACATCCAAAATAGCTTCCCTCGGTACACTCGTTACATCAATTCACATTTCTTGAACATTTAATGCCCACTCTACGGTGGAGACCCCTCCAACCCCAAAATTGCCATTTACGTGCGATAGAGCCATGACTCCCTCCCATTACTCCAATTCACTTCTCCAACCGAGCCCACTCTTAAAACTCCTTTGGGGGATGTTCATTGAGCGGCGCCTTCCTCATTAGACACTCCCAACCCTAAGTCAGTTCCTTGCCTTTGCCTCCAGACTATCAAATTTTCCGATCTCGCACGACTGCCCTTAAGAGGATTCCTTCTAAACCATTCATGTCACTGCTATTCAGGCACAAAAAAAAAACAGCTGTCTTCTCATCATTCTTCAAGCCCCAACATACCCACTCCATCCACCATGAGCTCAAAGTGCAAGCCAATGAAAGTCTTATTTGATTGCAACTTGAAAACACACTAGCTAGCTTCGGCATGTACGGCGAATACCATAGGAATGGCCACAGACAAAGTGCTTAATACTCACCAAATTTAACGCATCGACTTCACAAATCTCGCATCCTTAATAAGTTATTAGTAACTTAAAAGTTAAAAGTTAAAAGTTATACCCCATTCTTAAAATTCCACCCCACCTCCCTCTTCACTGATATCCTTGCCATCTACCAACACGTCAGCGCACCAGATGTAAGAGTAATCTCTGGTTAAGCATGCACGTTTACACTAAATGAGGGGCCTCTGCTGTGAAAATTCTGGCTTCCAGGCTCAAACCCCCAGTTAAAACAGGCAAGTGAGCATAATCACACACTAGTACAATACTACCAAATATAGTTATGGCTGGAATGTGCAAGAAGGCTACGATCCTAGGATTGTTCTCTCACCAAAATTGCTCTTCACAGACCATGCACGGACACCCCCGCTGTTACGGTGACAAAGAGAACAGTGCATGCATTTCAAACGTAGATTCAAGACAGCGGTGAGACATTTGAACCCCAACGCATGATACCTCCCCACAAGATCGTCCCTGAACGATGTGGAATGATTGACCCTACCCAATACACTACATGAACATGAACTGTAATGAAGGCAATTTCCTCCCATTTTCTTTTTCTCCCAGTTTCCTTTTTCTCTCCCTTCTCTTCACATCAGTCTTCAGCCAGGTTCCTTTTCTCTCCCTTCTCTTCACATCAGTCTTTGGCCAGGTCCGCACCAAGGGTGGGTAACGCCTAACATTATCATATCCACGAGGCTTTGGACTCTGGATCTGTTTAGCAGCGGATACATGTACCACTCGGTCACAATATCTTATTAACAGACACCTGACAATAAACAGAAGTGTTCCAAAGCACCCATTCCAGGAGCTAGCTTGTGAGTCAGCAAAACGCGTCGAGGAAGTCACCATGTTCATTCTTCAGGTGGGCTACGATTGCACGTTATGGATTTGAGCTGAACTCAGAAGAGGTATGAAAGAAAGAAAGAAAGAAAGAATAGCATGTCACTAAGCGTCATCTCATACCAATAACTCGTACTCGTAGCACATCCGAAGAAGAGACATGGCGACTTCGTTGACGCGTTTTGTTGGCTCACCAACCAGCTCCTCAGGAGGGGTGCTTTGCAGCTTCTGTTTCCAGAGGGAGGGAGGGAGGGAGGGAGGGAGGGAGGTAGGTACGAGCATTCCAGTTTCCCACCCTTGCTATGAGAGAGAGCTTGTCTGGTTCAGTCACAGTTCTGGACCCCGACACTCACACGGGAGTTCCTAGAGATATAGGGGCTCGCTCCACTACTCTCGAAATGTGTAGAGCATGGAAAGATGCACGGTCAGGATTTGTCATTTGTGCACGTCGAGAGTTAAAGAGCGACGCCCATAATCCACGGCTTTTCTGCAACCCGGCTCCTCCATGTATCAAAACCTAAATTTTATGCCTCTTTCCCAGGTCCATAATCCACAGCTTTTCTGCAACCCGGCTCCTCCATGTATCAAAACCCAAATTTTATGCCTCTTTCCCAGGTCCAAATATACTCTTAATCGGAGTCATTTACTCACCTTTTCTGGGTCGATACAGTGACTACATTCAAAGAACTAAAAATACCCAGAGTACCTTGCTCACCTTCCAAGTTCCAACCAACACATCAACACCTTTCGCTTTCACACATTACTCCAATCGTATCCTTTTTCGAGTTTTCTTCACTAACCAGCTACCTGGAACCTGGGGAAGATCTCGGATGACGCTTGGGAGAGACAACGGTATCACACTGCCGGCACAGCCCATCCACAAGCATCCTCACGGAAATGTACTGGAACTCGGCATCCAGAAAAGCTTAGAAAAATTGGCAATCTCCTTTTTCACCAAGTAGAACACACCCTCACCTTACGCCCCATATTTATTCACTGAATATTTTTTTTAGGGGTCAGATACACGAATATAGTTCTCTTGTTCTCAAGGACAGGACTCGGACGGTCAACACGACGGCCCCTGCATATCCGGCTGCAGATCATGCACTTCTGGCATCTGCACATCCAGGTTCATTCACATTTCAAAACCCGAGAACGCCAACAGCCTGAGTTGGCGAAATGGGTCCCACAGGTCATGGCTGTTCAGCAATGTGCAAAAAGCTCCAATTTCAAGCAAAATCTACAGCTGCATGAACCTTGAACATTCATTTTCCTTTCTTTCAAGGAGAAACCACCCAAGGGCGTCAACGTACTCGTCGTACAAACAGGACTTGAACTCTTAACCTATGATGAATCAGTCCTAAGCCTGCACTCTCCTCCTAGGCACTGCGGGTTGGAAAACTACCTTCTTCACCTGAATACAAAGTACGCTCATTAGAGCTGTACTTAGGGCATCCTTTAGTCTATATACAGCTAATATAATGACCGTACGTTGTATTTCGGGGAAGAACGTAGCCCTGCCAGCAATATACCTTACATTCATTGAATTTTCTTTTATAGTATTTATACACAAGAGGTTCCCCCCTAACATTGCTATTTTTATCTTATTGCAGCAGGCTTTGAACTCGTGATCTAACAGTCGAATTATTGTAGCAGGCTTTGAACTCGTGATCTAACAGTCGAATGTGGATGATTCAGCCACAGGGGCTGGACCGCTCATCCACTTGTCTTTCAGGAGGCAAAATCAATTGTTAAATAAAAGCGATGAAGGAGAGAAGGCTAGCAGCATGTGTTGAGGTCCTTGAGGATGCTCATGCATAATAGAAAAACGGTCTGAGAATCCTGCCATCTGATCTTGGGGAAAATCTCGGGGAAAAGCACTTTAGGGAGAGGGAAAAGGGAGGACAGACAGGGAAGAATGGAAAGGAAACAGCGAAAAGAAAGAACGAATGTGCACGTCAGGCTCGCAGACTACAAATGGTCCTTGCAACAAAGATTGCTGTGTCATTTTCTAGCGGAAAACGACAAAAAGACCCAGAAACTAAACAAGTGGTTGTAATAATGATTGCACCCTCCACAGTAGGGAACACACCAGAATCCAGCTTCAGTAGGAGCGACCCATGCTAGCAGACGCAGCAAAGAGCGGACAATCATTACCAACCCCACATCTGTTGCCTGAATAGTACACACCACCAGCTGACGCGACCCAGGTTGAGAATCCAAAGTCTCTCTGACCCACCATTACAAGCCTCACATTCGTCACGTGAATAGTACACACCTACAGCTGAGCCTACCCAGGATGAGGGTTCAAAGCCTCCCTGATCCCATCAGGGGCTTCCACCTCCCCCAAAGAGAAAACATCATCAAAACAATTCTCCCGCGAGGCAGGTAGAGCTTTAAACCACCAGTACCTGGCCCGGCTGTCGGCCGCAGCGGTTCCCCGTTAGCGCACCACGGACTTAGGGCTTCCGGGTACTGGACCTCAATGGCTGGACGCGCCAGCCAAAAGAAAAATGAAATGGTACCCTGTCGCTTCGGCAGAAATCAGCACGCAGGGGAATTCCAGGCTCGGCATCAATAGCTGGGCCAAGTACTCGTGGTTTAATGACCATGCTTTTACCCAAAATTGCGCATAACCCCTTCTGCCCCACACTTCTTGGGTAGATAACTGCCAAACGCACCCACAAGTCCTCCACTTATATACTAGCGTCCTCCCCTGAATGATCCTCAAAACAACTCACGGGACAGAGAATCCATTCCACCCTCCATCCCCACCATCGATATCTGAAACTACCAGAGGCTTCAAGCAAAAATTCAGTGGGCTAGC